AACGTTTCGACAAGGAACCCACTCTGAGACTAATAATGGCTGGAGACGGCTTGAATGGGTAATGAAGAAAAACTTTAATATAACAGCAAATGTACAACGTTTCGACAAGGAACCCACTCTGAGACTAATAATGGCTGGAGACGGCTTGAATGGGTAATGAAGAAAAACTTTAATATAACAGCAAATGTACAACGTTTCGACAAGGTTTTGTCATCATCAGGTTTATTAAACTACTTTTTGTTTATGTTATACCAATTAGAATTGCATAAAATCTTAGCTAATAATCCATATTTTAATGGTATACAAGTGTTTTTATAATTTTTATAGCCTTCAATTTTGTTTGGTTACAGAGCTATCAAAGAGAAAATCAGATCCCTCCTGCCACACCCACCTGTTACATCCTCTCTTTCATAATTGGTTGATAGTTCTCTCTTATGTTTCATTATATATTACCTATAACCAATAGAAAGTCAAGGTTTTTCATCTATCAAATGGCATATTGTATAACACTGTGTTCTGAACAGATAACCGTCAATGTCACTCTGAGTAGCAACATCGTTCCCGTAGCAGCTCGTGGGTAATGTAATTCAATAGCGTAACGTGACCTGCACATTCACCAAGTGATTTACAAATTATAATGGCACGAATACCAGTTAGACACGGTTCAAAGAACAATAAAAAGGGCAATAAAACAATAAAATTTGATTATAAATAGATATATAATATTACGAACTTAGAGCTACTTAAGATAAACGAAGTTTCATTTTACAATTTGAAGTCATATTAGAATGTAATGAAGGTTAATTTAGGTTTATTTCAATTTTTTCTTTTGGTGGTTATGAGGTTGGTCGAATTGACCAATCCCGTTTTGAGATGAGGTTACAGAAAATAACAAACTATAAAGATTTAGTGAAAAAAAAACGTTTGAAATGCATTTAGGATGTTTTAGGGATTACCCAAAGAAAATTTGAGATTTTTGAGATGATGAAAAGTATTTTTGATTTTAAAAATGAAACTTACTTTGCACATGGACCATTCAAAACAAATACTCAATATATATTCATGGACAAAACTTTAATTTATTAAAAGTACTTTAAGAAATATCACAGTTTGTATGTGAAAGACTTGTAATGTTAACTGAAAGAATGCCAAATTTTGTGAAGATATACCCAATATATAGAGTTATAAGTATTAAATTTATGCAAAATTTAAATGAGTACAGAAGGTCACGTGACTCTGTCAAATTGACCGACCCTGTGTTGGAAAAGTTAAACCTAGCCACTGTTTTAAACACATTTTAGTAGAACTTCTGGATATATCCATTTGATAAATTTGTTAACTTTATTCTTAACCACATATGAAATAGTGTCTAAGTAATGCATGACTAAAGTAAGTTTTTATTGGAACATCTAATAGGTTAAAACTTAGAACAAGTATTAATGGTTTTGTCTAAAGGTATTTTTGTAAACAGTAACTTTTACTGCATCTAGCACAATGAATATCATCATTAAACTCCATCTGCTTTAAGCTATTAACAAATTCAATCATATCCTTAACAGAATATTCACTTAGAATATTAGAACATTTTGCCATTAAGCTGAGAAAACCAAATCTTTACCAGATGATCAGTGCACTACCTCTACATCTAAATTGTGAAAATGTAAAGCAACTAACATGGATTAGTCTACGACTCACGAGTATCAGAAACACATCTTTAGCTGATACAAGTACTTCTACATAAATCTTAAAATATCAGCAATAAGATTTATCTCAAATGGTTTTGTCACCTGGTCAAACAGCTGCTTGCCTGTCGTATTTGGCTGGACAGCAAATTCCAGCTCGGCATCCATAGTGGTGACTCGAACATTTACCTAGTTAAGAGAAAATATTAAATACATTGGGTTGTTCATCAAATAAACAAAATTTAAGTTTTTTAGTCTCGCATAGGGGCAGCAGTGGAAAGTGCACAAAATTTCAGAGGTTGCCTGAGAACTTAATCTTTTGCTTCTTGGGTCATACAAACACCTAATCTAAAAATATTTTGCCTCATTCTGCTCTGCATTAATAGCCCACCATTGTTGAAATCTTGAGCAAATTGTACATTTTAATCTTAATGTTAATCTTAATAGTGGTAAGACTTGCAACACATGAAAAAATACACATTATTATCAAAATGTCCTTTGTTGCACAATTTTTTTTATTATTTTTTTTTAATCATGACAAGTTTCAAATAAGCATCATCCAGAAATATTCTATAGAGGTATCAAACTTGTTCCATATTTCTATACAATTTTGAAAGAATATTGTTTGAATAAAAGTGGTTATATTTATTTGCTATCATTAACACAATCATTTTAGTGTAACTTGTTTTACCCCTGGATCATACATATTTTACACCTTTTTATGCATGTAAGGGTTTTAATTTAAGAAGTTGACTATATCACTATATTCATACAATTAACCTCCAATCAGAACAAGGTACCAAGAGCAAAACTAAAATTCAACCCAAAGTAGGTTGTTTCTTTTTTTCTTTTAATTAATGCAAGAACTGTATGAACAAATAAACCTAATGAAGAAGTACATGGGATATCTTTTGATTTTATAAAAATTACATACAAGATTAAACACTCCACTAATGTTTTACCAAGAGATGAAACAAAGTGCAAAAGTCACTTTTTCATAAGATATAAAATTTGACAAAGTTTCTCCACAACTTTTATTAAGCAGCTTGTTTGGAACTTTAAATATTAACAATATAAATTAGCATTAAATTTAAAAAGTACTTAAAAGTATTTTTTCTATACCAGTTTTTTTTAGCTATCTACAAAATTATTGAGTTAATTTTTAGTTCTTATCAATGTACAGTTTAGGTAGTTTGCTTTGGTTCCACCAAAAGACTTAAATCTATAATAATTAGAGTATACTGAATGATTAGTTAGATACTTTTATTGTTTAAGCTTTAAGTAATATCTTACAAGGTTCAGACAGCTTATAGAGATAGGTTAGTCATAAATCTATGCTTAGCCAACAATGTAAAAAATCTTCACAAATGTTCACTGACTGAAGAAATTTTAAAAAATTAGAATCAATAAAATGTAATGAAATTAACAATAAAGAATAATAAATAGTTGTAATTTACAGATAAACTTACAAAAATCATTCTGAAAACAAATCAGTTAGAAAACAATATATCCTATTAATAATTAAAATGTGTAATGTATACATAACATGTATTCTTGTGGCCTAAACAAAACTTTCTACAGCAGCCATATTAAATCTAAGTAAGGTGCCTTTAATTATCAGAAAAATATAGAAGCACATTCAAAATCCATTACAAACAAACAAAACTAAAAGTTGTTTAATATGTACATAATAATGTACATAATGGACCTAAAATACTATGTTAGACAAGTAAGCTTATTACAAAACTAATAATACACGTGCAAGGAGTTTCTGCATATCTATACTCACTGCCTTTGGCATCTTGACAGGTTGGCTGATCCTTTAAACTGGAAGTGGGTGTATGTGTGCCTGAAAAAGTCATCCAAACTTAAAGTAACATTCTTGGATATACACTGTATTATCAAAATGAATTACAATAAACAAAAAAAATTAATGCTTAACAAGAAAAAAAAAATTATAAACTTACAAGTAACAACTACTAATTTTACACATTTTGTTCTGTAACTTGAATACAGCAAGTTTTACCTTATTTTTTACACTGTAGACAGAGTATGACATAATAGATGACTGCCAGATACACTGAAAGCTCTCACAATTCAAAAACTCAGATATTACTTTCTGAAACATTTCGCATGTCAAAGACACTCAGTTCTAAATTACAGCTTCAAGCTAAAATAAATGTAGAAAAATATTAAACCTTCCAATAGAAAACTTTAAAATCCAAAGAAAGCCATCTAGTAATTTTTTTTACATATAGCAGAACTTTATTTCTGTAACACATTGAGTTTAAGACAGTTTTATAAACAATTCCAAGATTTAAGGTATTTATGTACATATAAAGGTAATTACAGTAAAACTTCCATTTTAGTGCTTTCATAAAGACCAAGTTTTGTTTTGATTAAGCTTTGCATTAAAATCCATGCTTTGATTTTCCTGGTCTTAGTAATTATATTTTTTGCCAAAATTACTACTTTAGATAATGGGTTTCCCATGAAATAACTAAAGTTCATTTGCCCAAGCCTTGCAGACCTTAATAATAAGAAAAACAAAATGCTGTACTGTCATCAAATTAATAACAAAAAAAATTATATTTGCTTTCTTTCAGCCAAACTTTACATTAGAGATTAAAACATTTTTGTCAGATATAAACCATCTAGTTTTGATACTAATAATACGTTTTACTAGTAATAATAAAACGTTAGTGGTACAGCTCCAAGTTTATTTGAAAACAAGTGTATTTCTGTAAACGAAGGCACTAAGATGTTGAAAGTAGTACACCTGCATGGTCTTTAACTCTTTCAGCACAGGCTCGGTCCCCGAGACCAACCTTGTAACCACTTTGTGTTTGTTATAGTTTTCATTCCATAACTTTTAATTTAGCAAACATTACAATGCTTTCATATGCAATGTTTTTGTCATGCCTTTGTTTCCTTTCACATGTTGCCTATCCAACATGCAAAGTAATTTTCATTTTAGGATTAAAAATACTTTTATGCATTAGAAAATTTTCAAATTTCACGTCTGAAATCTTTATAATGTCAACATAATTATCAAATGTTTCTTTAGAAAAAACTATATTTTATCTGTTATTTTCACTAATGAATCTATGGGTTTTGTAGATTTGACCAATCTGCCATAAAAATTAGGAAATAAATATAAATGCCTCTTTCATTCTAGAATGACAACAAATTATAACACAAAAACATAAATGTTTAGACTAAATAGCTTAAATCTCATAATGCTATACATTTATTTATATTTATTTTTATTATATTGACCTTTCAGCCATGCCTGGCTAACGATACAGAAGTTACAATGACACGGCACATGTACACTCATGTTACCGTATCAAATAACATAAAACTGACCTTTGGTATGTACAAAGTAACTTATCTTGGCTGTGTTTTAGTAGACCAGTGTTTTGTAAAATA